TGTCAAAGCAGAAGCACCCTGCAAAAGAAAATCCCAAAGAAATGGCTGATACAGAAAATGGCCAAACATACAAGGAAGCAGTCTGAAAGCCACGGCAGTTGCTATTAGAAAGATCATTACATTGAAGTTACAATTAGTTTTGTAGTATTACTTCCAGAAGCAATGAAGATGACAAACCGAGAAATGTACAAGGCTAAGTTCAGAAATTATGTAATAATAAAAACCAGTACAGCTGAGTAACCTTGTGTTTTTAAAACAGCAGTATTTTCCTATTGCAGTAATGGCTGCAATGGATCAGAGTAACAATGATAACTGACTGATTTTCTCATTTCAGACTAGAATATCTGATTAAATTGGAATGTGGGGTGGAAGGGGAGATAAGGGAAACCTCAAGACCTTCCTCAAACAGCTGTACTACTTACAAATGATGGAAGTTGTAAGATTTAGATGTCTTTAATAATTTTATATTAACTTTTAGCTACCTAATCCCAAGACATTCTCTACAACTAATCCAAATCATTATGCTTACTCAATAACGTCTGGACACAATAAACAGAATTCAATTCTGATTTCCTGAAGAAACCAAGCTTAGGTGATCATGCTGTTCTGTTAGTCTGCTCCTCTCCCACACTGCTCAGTCAGGGCATTTGTCAAAATGCAGATAGGCAAGTTTCACCCCTTATGCCAGAAAGGGCTGAAGGCTTAACTCAGTTCCCCCACAGCGTCAGCTCGGCTCAGGCTGCCTCCAGCAGGTCCCTCGTGGGCAGTGGGCAAAGACAAATAAGCAGAGCTTGGGTGAGAATGAGACATGGAATAATTCTGTCAGTGCTGAACAAAGGGAAGTCTTCTCCACAGATGAAGGAAACGCTTGGAAAACTTGTGAAATTATACGGCATTTTCACAACTGAGGCTCAGTTACAATCCTACTGTGGATTTAAGCCTAAATCTTAGAATTCAATTGATTTTGAACCACTAAATTAAAGAGTCCTGATATTGACTTTCTCTTAATGCTGACTGCAGAGATCACGGTATTTTATTTTCTTTTTTAAAGTGACCTCCATTAAAATTTTTCATTTATGCAGATGAATGGTTGGTTTGCAGTACAAGGAGGCAGCTTTTTCCAGCTTTCCTTCCTAGGTTATGTAGTTCCTGAAAGCATTCTGACTGGGTCAAAAACTCACATATCACATAATATAATTATCAGTATTAACATATTCTCTGGAAGGGCTAGCATCTTTTATTCATTTCTCTTCAACAGCCATCATCCACAGATCTAAAAAACTGGCTTCATTAAAGGCTTAGGGAAGCGCCATCCCCATAACAGCTTTGCATCATTCAGCTATGATGGCTTGAAATTGAAATAAATCCTCTTTACTGAGGTGCCTTGCTTATTTCTACACTCCAGAGTATCTGTCACATGCAAATCTCTTTACATCCTGTGAAAATTCTATACGTAAAGTCTTTAATGACCATTAAATATAGTATTTCAATGCAATTATTTCAGTGAACAATAATGCTCTTTTGAGTATCTGCAGCCCAATTCAAGCTCCAATAGAAAACCTCGTGGGAAGGGACCCATCATGTCCAACCCTGCTTCTTGCAGGAGTAGCTGACACTACACCACGTGTCCAGGAGCATCATCCACACATTCCTGGAGCTCTGGCAGACTTGGTGCCACAACCACTTCCCTGGGGAGCCAGTTCCAGTGCCTGGCCACCCTCTGGGGGAAGGGCCTTTCCCCAGTGTCCAACCTGAACTTCCCTGAGAGCTTCACTCCATTTCCTCATGTCCTAAATAGAGATCTGAACACTTACATGTACCCAGATTACGTTTTGCCAAAATGCCTACGGGATTCTCTTGTTAACTGGTTAAAAATCAAACCTTGAATCCCCTCTGCCTCCTTAAAACGTGGCTGAAGGGGTACAATATAAATTTATATTGTAAATTTATGCTCGTGGTTGCTCGGTGACTGCCAAAGTTCACTCACTTCAGGGTTAACTGCCCCCAAACCAACACCAGAGTCAGTGGACCCTCAGCAGCTCTCACCTGCTCCTCCCTGCTCAACCCTTGCTACCACAAATCATGTTAGCAGATTTTAAATGTTTCCTAAATACTTATGTAATGCCACTGTGGGTTTTTCCCTGTGTTTTGTAGGTGTCCCTGAAAGGAGAGCCTGTCCTTGCCACCAGCCTGATACCAACTCAGCTTCTGTAACAGTATTGACTTTTCAGGACTAACTGAAGGGCAAATAAATGAAAATTTTCTTTGCCACCCAAATCAGTTGAACTCTCTCTGAATGCAGAGAAAGGGAATCCATTTCTAAGCAGATCTACTTTGACACAGTTACTCCAAGAAGAGATACAGTGTAGAACTCCTAACTTTTTGGTAATATTTTCAGTGAATAAGGACTCCCATGTATGGTTGAGTTCTCCAAGCTTTTTTTTTTTTCTTACATGACCTCCATGTTTAAACTGTAATTTTTTTAGATGAGAAATTCTGTATTCTTAGTATTTTTTAAACCATTTTAATGAAATGCCATTTCTATTCTGAGATACAGGCAAGAAAACATAGGGCTCCACAGGAGCTGGAAAACCTTTCTAAAGGTTGTACACAATGACTTTAGATACCCGTGGACATGTAATTTTTTCCTTTCCTTAGGGCTGTCCAGTCAGCAAGGAGAGACCCTGAACATTTGTCCCATTAAGGGTATATAAAATATCACCAAATGAAATGTAACATACTCCTAACAAATGCTATCAGCTATTACCATCTGGTATTGTAAATATTTTATCTATTTTAAAGCAACAAAGCCTTAAATAAATGAGATCAACACTCAAGATCAGGACTTTGCTTTGGGATACCTAAAGCACTGACACTAAAATTTGATAGAATTTAGTATTTCTGAGAGAAATGGCCACAACCTCAACAAAGACAGAAATACAAATTAATAAAAACACCTTTTCTTGGGAAAGCTTTACTTACAATGCAGAAACAAGAAACAAACCACAAAAAAGGCATGAAGGTCTTGGGAATGTGATTCACTACAAAAATTAAGACTTCAGTGTTTCATGGAATAATCCTTATACCAGCAACAGGAGTTTCAATTTCTAGTATTTCCACAGATGTTTAGGAAAGACCAAAGGTCAAAGAAGAGTATTTTGATTCAGAAGATTTACAGCTGTACTGGTTGCTTCTCATTTAAGATTAGATCTTTTCTGCCACAATTGCAAATTTACACCCTTGTAATCCAAAGGACTGCTTTTAATTTTAGTTTCATTACTATGATGTAGCTATATTGGCCATGAGAGAACAACCACAAGAGAAGCTTCAGGAACTACAATTAATCCCAAACAAAATTCTAAGTTTGCATGGAAATTAAACAGGCCAAGATCAGAAAATCTCCTGGTTGCTTGTCTAAACTTGGTCATTATTTTCTCTTGTTAGAGATCCATGCCATTCCCCTCTGAACCCTGGATGAACTGAACACTCATCACTCTCCCACCACTCTGCTGCCCTTCTGTGCTTTGTGCTGACTCCTACACTCAACTGGAAACCCTCCGTGCAGCTCGGGCATCAGCACAACCGGGACACGCTTTTTCTGCTCAGTTGTTTTGTGTTTTTGTGTTTAAGACACTCCAAACCCGACACGGTGGGTGCAGCCCTAGGGCCTGTCTCCCACCAGGACTCTCCTGCACCATGACCCCAACGCACAGCTCCATGAGTATTCCAGACTGGGAATATTCATGGCTCCGGTACGTGCGGGGGGCACGGACTGCCCGGTGCTGCGGCTCCCCAGGGGGCTGCCAGGGAGGGGACCGGGAGCTCCTGCCTCCGTTCGTCGGTGCCCGGAACGCCGGGCGGCCCCGCGAGTGCCCCCGCAGCTTCGCCCCGTCCGCAGGCCGCTGTCAGCCGCACCCGAGCCCGGCCCCGCTCCCGCACCAGGCCCAACTAACGCTCCAGAGCCCGGGCCCGGCTCCCGTTCCTGGGCAGGGATCCCGCACCCGGGCCGGCTCCAGCTCCTGGGCCCGGGCCTGGCTTCCCGCTCCCGCAGCCCGGCCCTGCTCCCGCCGTCATTTCGGAGCCGCCACCAAATGGCTGCCCGGGTCCCCGGGCCGGCCCCGCGGCCTGGCGGGGCCCGCCGGGCGCCGACACCCCTGCGGCCCCCGACGGGCCGCACCGGACGGGCTCAGCCCGACGCCGNNGCCGCCACGCCCCGCGACGCCGCTCTCGCGAGAGCCGCGCGCCGCCCGGCGCACGTGACCGCGCGGAGGGCCGGGCGGGAGGGAGGGAGTTACCATAGAGACGGCGGTGCAGATGCGCCCGCCGCGCGGGCCCCGCCGCCAGGGCCAAGCGGGGGTCATCGAGACGGCGGGACAGAGCGGCGGGCGGCGCCGCCAGCGCCCCCTTGTGGCGCGCCTCGAGCAGAGCCGCCTCAGCGGTTCCTCGGTGCGCAACGTTCGCCTCTGGCGTCGATTATTTATTGTCCTTTTAATTTTTAATCGGTAGCTTTCGCCGCTAGTGTCGATTATAAATTGTCGTTCTAAATTGCAATTGATGACTTTAATATTGCTGGCGCTGAGGAGGAGGCGGGGATTGGAGGCGCCCTCTGGCCCACGTCCGTTGTCCCCGAGCCGCCTCAGGCCGGCGGGGCCCGGGCGGCTGAGGGGAGCGCTGGCGCTGCTGGCCCAGCACCACCCGGAGCAACACCCGGCAGCTGCAGCTGCTTCTCCGGTCACGCAGAGATAACACAGCCTTAGCCAAGGTCACGGCGGTGCAGAGCTGTGACTCCTGAGGGGGAAGAATTCATGGCACAAGTGGGTCAGACAGACCCCTCTGAAGGACAGAAAAACGCGTTACTAAATGACCGCCACTGGAACACCGTGTTTAGTTTACTACATCTTGTTTACTCAACACAGCAAGTCAAAATACTAACTGTTAAGGTATGCACAGAATTATTAACTGTGATCAGAAAAATCGAGATGTATTTCTGACACAACGCCTTGTTTGCATTTCATTTATTGTGTTATGACAAGACATGGTTACATGTACGGACAGGGGAGAGGAAACTCCTCTTGATGTGAACATGTGCACAAGACCAGGGTTTGTCCACAAAGCTTACTGAGACACTGCAGCCACTGAACAGAACATGCTGGTGGGCTGTCACACAACACAACTCCCTCTCATGTTTACATGCATGACCAAAATAACTCGGAACCTGCTCCCACAGAAGATACACTTCAAAAGATCAGTCTGTTTCCCCTTTGGCACACAGGGAAGTGCCCATGAGGGAAATACCCACGCATACACCTGACCATGCCTGTAACAAGTAGTAACAGGAAAGTGCACGGTAGACATTGTACACACCCAACCCCTCACGTAGCTGATCAATAAAACCCCAAACAGGCTGGTGCACTCACAGACACAGGGAAGGAAAGTGAACTGACATTAAAAACTATTGTCTTAGATTTTAGAGCCAGCCAGATTCTGAAGCATTTGGGCCAGACTTCTGGACTCCGAGCAAGAACTTGGAACAGCACTTCTGAAACTTGAAGGAAAGCGTGATACAGACTGGAGTAAGAACTACTGCTTTTTGCTAGTTGTAAGTACCATTATCTCATACTAACAACTGAAATGACTCTTTATTCATATTACATTTAGTGGAAGAAACATGTACCAGCCAAAGACACAGACTGCATCACAGGGCACTCGATGCTCGTGATGAAACTAAAATGACCTTTGACAAAGCACAAACACACTTCTGCAAACACACATCATGACTGTGTTACCGTGTCACAGAATCAGGGTCTGAGACCTCTATGTCTAAGCCATTGCTAGTCAGACAGAAATGCCTGTTTTTCAAAATTAGCATTGAAACTGTGATTACCCAAGAGCACACAGCTGAATTTCACACAAGTGCATATAGCTAAGATCTGTAAAAAAATGAAGGCAGATGTTATGATGCAACAAACAGGACTAAACTTATCAAATACAGGTGCAAAACACTGATATGACAGAAAAAACCCCCACTATTAGAAGAAAGAAGTTTATAAAAATTCAGAACTTGATAAAACTAAAAGCAAGTCCTTTTCATGGGACTGTCCAGTTACAAATAAACTGCAAGGCAATACTGTTTGTTTCTTTCTCTTTTACAAATTCTCTATTTGCAAGAGGCAAATTGAAAGGTTCCTTGATTAGTTTTTGTTTGTTGTGTGTCCTTAAACGTCACAGACTTGAGTATGAAAACACACCTTCTTTCTGGAAGATCTAGCAAAGTTTGGGCAAGGAAGGAGATGATTTCACCATGAATGATCCAGGAACTGGATGGGAACAACTGACTTGAATAAATACAAACATCCCCTTCCCTCAGCTGTTGTTACCAACACCATGGCTCAGGCTTCAGCTTATTGCAGTATCAGTAATAGTCTGAAAGTCAGCAGTGCCTGCCCTTGAAACAAGGAATATAAAACATCATTGGGGGACCAGGATATGCTCAGTATAACAGAAGAGAAGCATGAAATAATTTCCCATATTTTGCAGTTTACTTTCAACTAGGAAACACGTTTTTTCACTGACAGCAATAGCAACCTTAATGGAGCAGGCAGGTTTCCTGCTCCAAGGCCTGTCTTGGATCACCAGCCACCTGTTTATGCTTCTCTCCCTTAGATGGGGATCTGGAACTGGAATTGCTTCTAGAATTTCACTAGCCAGGAGCTTTTTGTGGAGTCTGACTCCACAATTGCCCAGCTATCAGTCATAGTCTATTTTAACTTTTGTAATAGTGTTCAGGTTTGGCTTTTCGCTGCTGCTCCTTCCATGAACAGAAGTCAAATGCTTTTTAAGAGCAGACTTGTGTTTGAAGTCCATGTCGCAGCAGTGGCACTTGTAGGGCCTGTCCCCGCTGTGGATGTTGAGGTGATCCTGGAGCGTGCTCTTGGCCGTGAAGGTCTTCAAGCACACCATGCACTGGAAGGGCCGGATCCCCATGTGCCCCCGGATGTGCCTGTTGAGATTCTTTTTTTGCGTAAATGTTTTGCCACATTGCAAGCACAGGAAGAGTTTGTGCATTTTCAGATGTCTGAGATAGTTCTCGAGGTGCAGAAAGCCCCTCGGACACTTTGGACACTGGTGCCGCCATGAGCTGCCAGAATCCTCCAGGCTCTGGAATCCATTCACCCCACTAGAAGTTCCTTCTGGATTGTCACCAACAAAAGCCTGAAAGTGATTTCCTGGCATTTCTGTATTCCTGCTTTCAACTGTAGAGTTTATCAAGGAGTGCTGGGTTTCTGGGAAATATAGATTTGTTTTAGAGGAAGTGCAAGGCTGAGGAAAATGATCATTTTCTACGTTCGCCACACTCATGGAATCCATTCTGAAGATACAGATTTCATCATCCTTATACCCGATTTCCACTGTTGATATTTCTGGGGACTTTGTGTCCTTCCTTTCCGACACCAAGCTCTGCCCTGCAGGGTGTGGGCCATCCCCATCGCCATCACCATCCTCCTGTTTCACGGGGTATTCTTCATTCTCTGGACTGTCTTCAGAGATCTCGATTATTTCACAATCTTTATCTAAAACCTCATCCCCGCTCCTTAGTTCAGCATCCGAGGAGTGGCACCCCTCAGCAGCCTGGGTACCGCTCTCCATGGAAGCGTCGATCTCCAAATACTTGGACAAAGCCTCGGTGCACTTCTCCACAATGTGAACCATCTGCAGGTAACTCGCGGCCGTCAGGTACTTCAGCAGCTCTTTTTTCTTGACTTCCAGCGCGCCCGTGTAGCAGGACAGCAGCAGCTTCCTGCCCACCTCGGCGCTCTGCAGGATGGTGATCCGCACCTGCCTGGACTGGTTGAGCAGGAACTGATCCCGCATGAAGGTGGAGCAGGCGGCGAAGATCACCTTGTGTCCCTGGAACTCGGTGTCGTTGATGTAGATGGACACGTCGCAGAAGAGGTTCTGCTGGCGCAGGAGGTTCATCTTTTGCAGCACGGCATCGCCCTGCTGCTCGAACTGGAAGTGCAGCACCTCCGAGTCCGCCGCCATGGCGGGACCCGCGGGCGCCGCCGGAGCGTCTCACCGGGCGCAGCCCACCCCCGCCTCCGGCAGGACCCGCTGTTCCGGGGCTCCCGGGCCGTCCGCCGCCGGCCGCGATCCCGCTCCGCCCCGCTCCCCGGCCGCTCCCCGCCGCCGGTACCGCTCCGCCGCCGGTGCCGCAGCGCCCCGGAACAGCTTCCCCGCCCGCCCCTTCCGCCCGCCCGCCCCCGGTGCGCCGTGACCGCGGTGGAAATGAGAGGCGGCGGCAGACAGAGTTAGCAGCACGTTTATTAGAAGACTTGGCACTGCTACAGCGGCTGCCGCTGGGGGAAACCGCACCGGCACCGGGGCGCGCCTCGCCCACCGTTCGGTAGAGGTAGCGACGTGTCCGCCCCCGTAAGGCATCCCGCGGAGCGGCTACCGGGGCTCCTCCTCGCCATCAGCCGGGACGCGCCGGGGGAACGGCGAACCGCCGCCCCGAAGGCCGCCGGGACGAGCTGCTGGCTTCTTCACGGCCACGGGACATCGCCCGGCAGCCGCCGACCCGCCTGCTTTGGTTATCACACGTAGTGTAAGACTTTTGCCCAGTCAGTGAAGAGGTAGCTAATGCTCAGTCCATCGATTATACAATCTCAAAGGAAAGGCGTCCGTCCTGCTTTCTCACCCCTTACCAAGTCGGGAGACACCACTATGTCCCCCTCTTTGTTTATAAAAATTAACATTTAACGTGACTTTAGAGTTCTCTCAACAGTTTCAGTTTGTATCACATTTTGATTCTCCCTCCTCACTTTTATTCCTCCCAGTGACTCCAAAACCATAATCAGCCCCACACAATTAATTTCTACGTTATTTCAACAAAAGTTCAACGGCAGCTAAGTTTTGCCAAAAAGCTAGGGGAGAGAAAGACTGACACTTCAAATTAATCAGTTACTAACTTGCAAACATGTCTTCTAAAAGAAAAATAAATTAAGGAAAGACTCATCCCTGATCTATGCAGGAGGCTGTGCAGTTGCAGCATGTGCTGCAGGAACGAACACATGCTACACAAGCTACCATCACTCAGAGAAGTGGTGAGCCCAAACCTCTGGCAAACCTAAATTCTAAAAATTCCTTCTTCTATATAATATAAATAAATAAAATGCCAACTTTAAAAAAATCCTAATATACTGAGGAGTTATTAAAATACTTTTGTAATAGACTTCAGTTTTTTTTAGGATATGTAGGAAGTTGTACAGCACATTGTGAGACTATCCACTTACCAGCAAATGGTATTCTACACAGTAACACACAGATTATGATAACTGCCATAGTCCTCATCTGAATATGCAGCATCAGTAGCAACAACCAACAGATCTAATCTTTCACTACTCGGGACATTGCAATGAAGACAACATTTTACATACATGGACAATTAAGTTCATCTTATTCTATAATTCAGCTGCCTCTGCATATTCCATTTCTCATAATTCTCACTCCATTTTAATCTGTAATTCAGAGAAGCAGCATTAGCCAGATTTTTCTTTTCTATTACCTCTTCTATACTCTTCACTTGTCTTTCCATACAGGGGCAAATTCTAGATGAACTCTACCACCAGTGCACTTTGCATCGGCGTATTGCCCTCAGAGCTCCGGTGTTTCTGGAGTCACGCAGCCATCTCCTGCTTAAATCTTTTGGTCTGCACCCTTCTGCCAGGCCAAAAGCAAACATTAGTAAAAGTCACTTTTCATCCAACCGATGTGTCCTTTTTCACTGAAGAAAGTCTTCTGCATTTCTCTTTTTTCCTATTCATTTATGCTGTGCTCTTGCCAAACGACCACAGCAGCCTTTAATTGAGCAGCCCAGCAGTCTTGGCCTTTTCAGACGTCCAAATCACCACAGCACAGGGTGGACTGAACACCTATGCATCTTGACCAAATTATTTCTTTCATTTCTTAGGAAAACCCTTGTCTCTTTGTATCAGCTTCAAGTCACCCACAGCTACTTCAACAAGCTGTATTCTCCTTACAGTAACATTACAGCTTCATAATTTCACAAAAACCAAAACTTTCCAGAAAGACAAAACTTTCAATACTGTCCATTTTGCTACCATGTTTTCTAGCATTTGTGCAGTTGTATTCCTTTCTGTGGCAGAAGACCATTTTCTTTTTTGTGTCCATATTCATATTGCCTTGGATTGTTCACTAGTACCTTACAGCACGTTGACCTGGCTCTGCAAGCTCTTGTTCTCCACGTCTATCTTCATTTTGACATAGCACTATAACTTATTTCCATTTAGTGAATAATAGATTATCAAAATGTTTGAACAATACAGAAGATTTTGCCTGAAGACAGAATGCAAGTGTCAGATGCAACTGTCACGGTCAAATTTAGTTCAAAACAACTCTGAAAGTGGGTGGCTTCAAGAGGAAAACAGTTCTTCCCATGCAAACCTATCTTCTACTCCAGCAACCTGAACAATAATTTAAAAAGTCTCAAATAGTTAGACTTTAGGCCTAAATATATTTGCTACAACTTGAAAGATGAATGCCCTGATGTAATTTCCTTTGCTTACTTCATAGCTGTCCATGTAAGAGTTCGTGTAACAGTCAAGTGCAGTAGTTCAAGAACTCAATTGCAAAAACTGATTCACAGAATCACCTTCTTTTTCTGCTTCAAAGTATGTGGATTTCTGAAAACGTTCTGCAACATTAACATGTTTTAACGTCCATCAGTGTAACATCTGTGTAATGAAATCCTGACTTCTACACACACAGAACCGAAGAGCAAGACCAACTTTTGATAATGACATACACAACACTTTTTGCTCTACAAACCTTTGGTCATACCTGTTTAACATTTTTAACCATACAATAGCAGCCTTTCACCCCCACCCCTCATTCAAACACACCAACAGTACTACATTTAGGTAGGAAGCATAATCTCAGCCTCACGGCAAACCTTGTGGAAAAGAGCTGCACTGGAAGAAATCCTAATTCCAAACACAAACAGCAGTTCTCTGCCGAGGATCAGCCATTTGATTATTAGTCTATGCTACACTTCAGTACTAACAGTGCTGTTCTACTGGGAATGGTGTGCCTCAGATATACTAAGCTTCTTTCAGCCTGACTGGGATGTGGATAATTCCACAGCACTTTTGAGAAGCAGTATGGTATAATCCCAGAATCCCAATTAACATGCCATTCCCGCTACATTTGATGTTTAAGGCGGTATACAAGAGGTATTGCTGAGTACAGTCAATAGCTGATATATTAACCTATAGAAATTGTGCTACCTATACCTCATCCTAGGATCTGTAAAACACTAATGGTCACTTCAAAAAAGAAAAAACTTTATGTTAAGTTCTTATAGCAGGTATTTTTGTTTAAAGTTAAGTGACACGTGGCCCTTATTAGACATCAAGGAGAGACATACAAGAACTAAGGGGAGAAAAAAGCAAAAAAAAATTGTGGAGTTGTTACACATTGCAGCTTTAAAAAGATTCTTTTCACAGTGTCAAAAAGCAGTATTTCTCCATTCCAGCTTTGCTCTAAACCCAACAGCTGTTGTGGTTTGTGATGCAAAACTTACAGAAGATGGAGGATAACTTTTAGCTTTGAAGTGTTTAGCTTGTCTCAGTACGTGCGCTGGCAAGTGCCCTTTAAAAATCCCAGCTATGCCAGCGTAAGAACAGGTCACATTTGCACTCCAGGCACCAGCCTCTCACATTCCAGAGCTGCAATTTATCCTCAGTTTGAACAGCTCTATGCAATGATCAGCTAACCCTGCCAAATCATTTAGGGTTTAATCTTTTCATAATGCATGTTGAGGTTAAAAACCCTGAGAGTTTTTAAGAGAGCATTGATTGGCAGCAGAAGTTTCTTGAAATAGGTTTAGAAAGGGCAAAAAAGTGACACAAAAATACTTCATTTCAACTGCAGGAGTCTAGGGGTAAGATCAGAGAAAGGTAATTTTAAGAGGTAAATTTAAATTTGAGTATATGGAGTGTTTTCAGTTATCCAGTGCTTTTTAAAAAAAAATATTGGGTTATCTCACACACTTGTCCTCTTTGCTTTCCTCCATCTGCCCAGACAGAGAGAGGCCTCTAACTGCACAGCAGATGGTTTACTTGCAGCTCACAGCAACAGTCTTTCAAAAGGTGTTAGTCTTGAATCTCCTAATCAGAGAGAAATGGAACAATTAACCCCTTAATCCACAGTAGAGACATAGACAGAAACCTGAAGGAGGATTGCTATTCACAGAAAATATCAAGTAAGACTAAGAGCGATGGCTGAAGACCTGCCAGGTTTTGCAATCCAACCATCCGTAGCCTTTCAGGGCACACCACTAGTTTAGGGAAGAAGCCAAACCAACGGTTTGCTCCTCTCAGTCACGATCCCTACACAGGACGAGTTTTAATTGCTTAATTGACGCAGGTACTATCGTTTCTTAAACCGAGCACAGCCTGAGGCAGCTTCCCTGCATCCAGTACCTGGCTGGCATCAGCCTGCTGACAGACCTTACTGTCTGTAGCAGCGCTACATGTGAATGAATCAAAGTCCACCGTTATGTCTTGCACGTTTCTTTCATTGGCATTGTCAAAGCTGTTTTTACCGTGCAGCTGTTTGAGGTGTTTCCTCAGAACGGGCTTATGCGCAAAGACCATGTCACAGTAGTTACACTTGTGGGGCTTGTCCCCACTGTGCAGGTTGAGGTGGTCCTGTAAGGAACATTTCTGAGAGAACGTTTTCCCACAGATCTTACATTGGAATGGTTTGATGCCTGCGTGCACTCTCATGTGCCGGTGGAGATTGCCCTTCTGAGTGAACGTCTTACCGCAGAGCAGACACATAAATAGTTTATGCATCTTTAAGTGGTTAGCATAGTTTTCCAGATGCCGAAATACTCTTGTGCACTTTGGACACTGATGGTGCCACTGGAGGCCTTTGTCTATCCCTCGGTTGTTAGGCCCAAACATATCTTTAGAGGCCAGAATGATGTTATCGCTGCCGGCGTACGAAAGGGCATAGTTGTGGAGGTGGTTTTGCTCTATTTCACTTGCTCTGTTCTCAACAGTGGAGTTGATAAGAAAGTGTTGAGGCTCTGAGGAATGCAGTGCAGTTTGTTCAGAAGAAATAAACTGATTCTGATCCTTCTTATTCCTAACTTCTGTTACCTCCCCAATGGACTCCACCTTGATGATCTGAATATCACT